TCTCCCTCACACACACATTTCATTTTAGCAGTTGTTAATAAGTAACTGTTGTACAACATCACACTGTCAGACTGCAAAGCTCAGCTTATTGGCTTGTGTAATATCTTTGTCTTCGCTTCTTTTCTAACGCGGTATAAAGGCTCTGAAGGAAAATCTTCACTCACGTCCTTCTGCAGGAGACAACGTCCAGAGAAAACTCCAGACCACCAGAGACACAGAACAGCCGACCACCATCATCTCCTGGATCCTGAAAAATGAGCAACAAAGTCTGACATGTGGAAGCCAATCATCCTGTTAGCCTAGAGAAACACAGACCTGCTTGGCACCAAACTGTCATAGTTGGGTTTTTTTAGCTTACCTGTACATGTTTGATCTTGCTTGTAACCACTCCTGTTAGTCTCCTGCTGCCTGGTTTGTCTTCACTTCTCTGAAGTCAGTTTCCTGTAAAACATTTGATGGTTCTCATCTGTGAAGATTTGCTGCTTTGAATGATTGTAGATCAATTAAACCTTATGTATAATTCCATGATGTGGTAGTTTTAGACGACTGTTTCATAGGAGGCTTCATTCTTCTGCCATTACCAGGCGAGCAAACAACAAATTAAAGTTCTTCACTTCGGACACATCTTCATTCTGTATGCTTCAACATGGAAATAAATTTTCCATATTATGTTTTCTATGATCCTACATCAACAACATTTCCTTCCTTGTTTAAACAGACTCCTGTATTGGTTATCACTTTAAGGGTACTGGTTTTGTTACTGGTGTTGTAAAATTTTAATCGATACCCCACCCTACAGTTATAGCTGATTTTTTTATGGGTCAATACAAGTAGAGGTAATTTGGCCTACTGTTGCTTTATAGACTTTTTGGGTAGGCGGGGTTTCTACAACAAAGATTTCTGGGCAGCCCCCAATGTTTCAAGAGGCAAAAGCCCCTGGTTATAACCATCTTACAAATTCCATTTGCAAAATATAAAACATGATTTTACACAAATCAAAGTTCTGTATACTTCTTTATGTCCCATGTACACATTTCCGTTTTTGCTTTAAAGATTTAAGGAGTAAAAATAGACTCTGATTATTCCGAAACCCCATGAACGCAACTTCAGTCACCGCTCACTCCTCCCTAAACACGCTTGTGATGGCAGAAAATTGTTTTCTTCTTATAATCTTTTATGCAAGTACTTATAAGAGTGCTATTTCTCCATTATTATTGTGTCTTACACATTGTTTAATCTTTAACCTGTTTCCAAATTTCACTTCCCTTCTTGCTTCTAATAAACCAGATGACTACTGCTACTAACATTGCTTGTTCTTGTCTTGTTCTTCTTTTACATTTTCAATGTAGTGAGGAAGCGCGCTCTGTAAAGCAGTTTGTCCCTTTGGGCTACTGTAGAAACATGGAGGTGCAACATGGCGACTTCCATGTAAGAGGGCCTGCGGTGAATGTAGATAGAAATGTCTCATTCTAAGGTAATAAAAACATAACGTTCAGTATGTAAGGTCTTTATACACCACTACAAACATAGTTATGGATATTATATTGCATTTCTAAATGTTACACACTGGACCTTTAAGTGAGGAATTCTGTGATTTACAGATAAAGGCAATCTGTTTAAGATTTAAGCAACATGCTGTGTTCAGTTTGCATTATTCTATGAAGTCAAAATATAATACATAATTAATTAGTTTAGTAAATACAAAAAAGTGGAAAAATACCATTTAATAAAGTTTTTATTATTAAATTTATATTGCATCATCACAGAACACATGACTCAAGCCTCACAGATGACAGCAAAATATTTTTCACAGTCAAGTCAAAGAGTCTCAAGAAAATTACGACGTGGGGACAATTTTCATTGTTATAATGATTCTCAAAGATCTCAAAGAGACAGCCTTATCTTTTGAGCCAGAAGCAACAAGTTTATTCAACAATTGGTTTATTGACAAAGGAACAATCAGCAGCTGCACTCAGTCCCAACTTCATTATGTACATCTGTACAATCTATTGTCAAACTGACACAGCTTTTACATGAATTCTACTTTAACTGAAATTATACATAAATATTTTATAAAGCCCTAACAACCACTTTGTAACCTTCATTTGTGCCTTCAAAAGACCTCTGATACCCAAAGGTTCAAGTTACTTTTGTCTCATCTGAAAACAGTTTTAACAGGAATCAAGTCTTTTTATTCTTTTCTTCTATCTTTTTTTGGATTTAAATATCCTTCATTATGGAAAAAGTGTGGTATGTCAAGAACATCTAGCATCGAGCAGTAAAAGTAGTTTGACATAATGTAGCACTTCAGAGCTGCACAGTGTGACTTCATTTCACTGCAGCAGTGGGTTGGTGGACATTTGTCAGAAATGTCTTCCTCACACTGACTTTGTCCCTCTTCATTAATTTCTTCAAGTTGATTTTTCTGCAACAAATAAAAAGAATTCACTGTTAAAAAAACTCAAAGTGAAACTAAAGATAATCTTTCATTTGGGAGTCTTCACTATAAAGAACAAAATAAATTCATGCAGCAAACATGAAGCCTTCATTTCATTTTGGTTACATTGTCTTTTTTTATCTTCAGATTACTGAGCCAGAAATTATTTTTAGATTAGATTTGATGTTACACTCTGCTTGTGTCTTATTTAGGTCAACATTTTATTAGAGACAGCAGTTCATAAAAACTGAAAGGTTTTTTTTAGTAATTATTGATGAATTACAGCTTGGTCTGCAAAATGATTTAAAGGTGAACTCACTGTGAAAGAACTCTTCTGTATTCAGTACAGACGATATACTTACCGTCACAACTCCGTGTCTGGTCTTCTTTCTCTTCCTTTCTGTCCAACACACATCATCATCATCATCATCATCATCATCAGGTGAAGGCAGAATGTGTTTTCTTACCTTTTTATTTTTGTAGTACAGCACAACAAGGCCTGCTGCTAGAACTACAAACAAAATGGCTCCAACCACCAAACATACAATAACACCTGTGACACCAGTTTGACTCCCTGAAACAGAAAAAGATTCAGTTTATTGAACTTTCTACTAACCAAACTTCCACGAGTGGACTGACTGATAATTCCTGTAGCATCAACATGTGAGGTTGCAGTCTGTTAATAATGCTAATATGTTCATGATATCAGGTGGGAATCACACCTTCAGTGTCTGTTTGACAGGCCTCATAAGCAACAAACTGTGATGCACTGTGTGACACCTTTCTATCAGAACCAGCATTAACAATTTGACCTACAGTATCTCGTCTGTTGGATCAGACCACAGGGGCCAGCCTTCTCTTCCCACATTCATCAGTGATTCTCGGCCCTCCGTGACCCTGTAGACACTTTTCCTTCCTTGGATCCTTTCTGAAAGGTTCTGACCACTGCAGACTGTAGTTAACTATCAATGGTCATAATGTTATGGCTGATCGGTTTATGTCTGTAATGTATTTCTTGTCCTGTCCCTCTTTTGAATATTTCTAGCTGTTCAGTCAAAAACAACAAACAGTGGAGGTCAGCATTATGTTTTCATCTGCGTTTACCCTCAGCTGTAGTATGTGAAACACAAACTGGGCTCTTAAACTGATAAACTGCCTCTTTGACCTCTGGTCGAAACCCTGCCCAAATGTTGAACCGGAGATTTTATGCCGATAGTTTAAATAACAGAAACAGTTTTTACTCATTCAGACTTGATGTCACCTTCTATCCTCAGCAGGGTGTTGGTTATGTTTGTCTCCTCGTCATCGCTGAGTTCACAGGTGTATATCCCCTCCTGTTTCAAAGACAAGTCTTGTAGTGTGAGGCTGCCTGACTCAGACACACCCTTCACCTGCTGCCTCCACTCCTCTGAGACTGTGTAGGGGACGCTGGTCCTGGTCCGGTTCAGGATGATCTGACTGCGGTTGAATCTCCAGACGAGGCTGAAGTTCAGAAGGGAAGTGTTTGAGGCAGAGCAGAGGATTGTTGTGTCAGAGCTGGAACCATCGAGAGAAGCTGAAAATATACAACACAAAACAAAAGATAAATAAACAAATCCAAACACTTGTGAATCAAATCTCTTCTTACAGGAGTTTGTTGTTGCAGGAATCTTTTAAATCAGTGCAGACACCAACCTGGTTTATTGGTTTAGTTGACAGATTAGACGTAATACTCACTCAGTTCCCTCAAAGTGGCTCTCCTCCTGTTCCTGCGAGTGCTGACGGTGCAGCTGTAGACCAGATCAGTAACCCTGTCTGAAAGTATCAGAGAGCTGTTGATGTTGTAGAGCTGCTGTTCAGTCTGCTGGACTCTGGTTGTGTTCTTGAAGGCCACTTTGGACGGAGGTCTGGTGGACCAGGTGAGTTCAGGCTCAGGGTAGATCCCCTCTGAGCTGCAGGTGATCCTGTTTTCTTGCTGCTCCATGTCGACTTTATGGACCGGAGCTGCAAAAACAGAGATCTTGATGTGATACGGATGAACTCACTTTCAATTTGACAGCACATATGCTAAATTTAGAAATGTACTGAACATAAAGAAAACACAAGTTGATGGTTTTGTGTATCTACTGTGTGTTTCTCGTACCGTCCACTTGTAGGTTGATAAATGATTCCTTGTTGCCTCTGATGATGCTGGTGAAACACCTGTATCTGCCCTGGTCCTGAACCTGGACCCCAGTCAGCTGGAGCGAGGCGTTTCCTCCAGAGATCTGGTCCTTGAACAGTGATGTCCTGCCTCTGAAGCGCTGGCCCTGGTGTCCCAGCTGGTCTTGGTTGTGGTAGTAGGAGTGGACAAGAGTGTCTCCTGCTGTCACATGATACCAGTGGATGACTGCATCAGTGCCGCCCTGGAAGCTGCACGGTAAGATGCAGCTCTCCATAAAAACACTGGACACCTCAGCATCTGCAACACCTCAGGTACAAACAACATACTTTATTTTGTACCAAGTCGTTCTCACTCTCAAGCCGTCATTTTTGAACACTTAAGGTAGGTGTATAATATATAACAGTGAAGTCTGAGTAAGGAGGTGACTGCCGTGGACAGATCGGCCATAAACTGAAATTTCATGTAGGAGGCCGATGTTTGCTTCTTATGTGAAACAAAAAGTGTTAAGTGTTGCGTAGGTTATGAAAGTTGTGAAGGTTACACATGTAGCGTTGATTAATGGTGTTATTTTAAGCCAAACTAGGAAGTTTTTCCCTCAATCAAATTTACAACGTTAGCCATTAGTTTTATTTTGAAAGTCTAACCAGACGTAGCCTATTTATTATTGCTATCTTGACCGGACATTGTGTATTGATTGTTGCTAACTTGACCTGGGTACCCAGGGGTTACAAAGCGACACCAAATGGTCTTGACAAAGTGTAGTGTTCACTGTGAGTTTTTAAAATCTGAGAGTAAATGTGTGCTATAAATAGATCATAATAAAAAGCTATTAAATTGGGATATTATATACCTTCCTGCCCAGTCCCAAGGGGGCGGGGTTTAGCCTTAACCTGTCAGGCCACACCTGAACTGATAAGAGGCATGATGAGGCTCTGCTCAGTCACTTTCCCTTTGTTTGCATGAAGTCTTGCTAATCCTTTCCAGTTGACTGTTAACTGGATGCATTATTTGAGTAAGTTCTGTATATTTGTTAAAGTTATTGCTGTTTCCTTGTTCAATAGTGAAAGAGTGCTTTAATTTGATTATGACCTGTAGCCTACCTTCTGTCTACTGATTGCTTTCATTTGCCTTTTAGCTGTTCAATCATCTGTCAGTCAACTATTGAAGTGGGAAACTTTAAAAGGACAATAAACTGTTGAACAGCTCTCATCTCTGGTCCTCATACTTTAACTGGTGTGCATTATCCAGCTTCCATAAAGGCAAGTTTCTACAGCTTGAAACAATGAAATACTTGTTTTATAACCAATTTTATAGCTAAAATCAAGACCTGTCACCCAGCAGGGTGGTTAGGGTGGACGGACGGATCCTTTCCTTGATCATTTATAGTTAGTTACTTTTTTAAACTGCTAAAATTCTTGTTATACTTGTTTAATTAAATTGTGGTCTTTTGTGACTTGATAAGGGAACGAATTATAGCCTCTTATGCTTTCAATTTTAGTTTGTTTGGCAGATACTTTATCAAATCAATGGCTAAAAACAAAATTAGATATTGTTTAATTACATGTAACTAGTTACTTCCCAACACTGGTAACTGAAATAATATTTATTATATGCCTAAACTAGTGGTAAACTATACAGTATATGAAAGTTTATTGAATATGCTGAGATTATCTAAGTAATATAGTAACATTATACTGTGTTACGGCCGCCGCTGGCTGCCTTAGAGTAGTTGTGTTTTGGAGTTCTCTGAACAGTATGCAAATCCCCGCTGCAAGCACCTGTTGAGGATTGGTTCCCCTGGAACCACCCACTTCCTGGTTGCTGTTTGCTGGTGTCTGATTGGTGTGGCTGAAGATCCAACCGAACCTGCCAACCAGGACTCACCAATCAACACCAGCTGGCCTACTAATAGTTTGTGTTCCTGCAGTTTGAGGCGACTGTGAGCCAGTGATCAGTCCACCTTGTTGTTGGTTGTGTACCCCTGTGGACACTGGTAACTGAAATATAATATTTATTATATGCATAAACTAGTGGTAAACTATACAGTAATGAGAGTTTATTGAATATGCTGAGATTATCTAAGTAATATAGTAACATTATACTGACAGCTGACTTGAATAACATCAGGTCCAGTGATCTGCCGCCCAGTCGTGCATTCAGTAACTCAATACAGCAGCGTTATTTGGATTAGTAACTGTAATAATATTGCTGTTTTGGAAATAGTAATCTGTTACACTACTAGTTACTGGGAAAATGAGTAAATGTAAAATGAGTAAGTAGTATATTATTATTATTAGGGAAACACTTTACCACCCTCCCTCCTCTGAGGGAGTAAACACAGCCTACAGCTCCACACTGCTCCCCACCACATTTTGAAATGGCTGATTTTGTCCCCATCAGTTTTTAAAAGCATTTGTTAAAAATATTCTAAAAATAGCACCAAAAACTGTTAAAATGTAAATGCTTTGAGAAAAGGCTTTTTTGCACAATAAGAAAATTTCCAATGCAATATAGTTTCCCTCACGTAAAAAAAGACATACTCACTATAATTGGAGCAGAAAATGTCTCCAGAATGCAGGAAATTACGAGTTTAATACTCAAAATCTTCTGGGGGAGGAGCCCCAGCCTCCCTGGACATATATCTCTGCATCTAAATAGTGCTAAAATGTTTCTCATCTTGTTCTCGTGCACGATCATGTCTCATGACCCAAATGTATCATCACGCCCCCAATCTGAGCCCGGATGTCCCCACAACGTTTCAACACAATGACGTGTTCACTCCCACAGATCCACCTGCATCATTGCATAGACTGCCCTCCCTGACTAGACCACTCCCCCAGATTATATGACCCCCCTTCAGGCCTGTGACTCTTTCCCTCCAAATGATTCCAGGAAGAACAAAATATGGACTTTTCACCTTTATAATATTTTGTATGTATGGCATGTTATTATGCTAGATTTTTAATTAAGGAGAAAAGACTGTGGGTGCATCAATGATGTAACTTAAAACGATGATCTAATTTATTAATATATTATGTTTAGTACTATTCAGATGTATTTTCTTTCAATATTCCTTTTGTATACAAAACATCATTCACCATCCCACTGCTAACCATTTTTATTCACCTTTGACTACAATAAACTGTTGGACCGATTACAATCTGTAGCCTAATCACTCTTTATTAATGTATTACCAACACTGAAACTATGAATTCACGTCCTGTTTCTGGGCTAAATGCCATTCTGTTAAATGCAGGGCAACTTTGTCCTGATAACAGTTACTGTAGGCTAAACTGTATGTGACACCCTTATAACATTATGAACATTAGAATATAAGTTTCCCATTACTACTTAGCTTCAGGCAGCAGTGCGATCTGCTTTGCTGTAGTCTGGATCTAAGTTATTAAGTACATGCAGTTGGCTCGGAGAAGGTTTATCTGTTAAGTCTAGTTTTGCATGCCGCCCCTTGGCTCCTATTTCTTGTTCAACATCTCTGTCTTCTTTTCTAACGCAGTATAAAGACTCTGGACGCTCTTACCTTATTTGTGTATCTCTGAAGTAAAAGCTTCACTCACCTCCTTCTGCAGAAGCTAACATCCAGAGAAAACTCCAGACCACCAGACACACAGAACAGCCAACCATCATTTTCTATTCTCTGCATGTTTTTTCACATTAAAACAGAGAATGATAACATATCCAGTGTGATCCACATCCTTTTCTGTTTACTCAGGCACTTTATATTTGCCCTTTTCCTTTCCCCTCGTTATCCCTGTCCTAGTTGTTGTTCTGTCTTGACTTGTGTTTGTTTTACTCCCACTAAATTCCTGTCTGTAAGCTGAACCTGTCGCCACATGTTTGCAGCTGCAGCTGTAAGTCAGTTTTTCATGCAAAAGCATTTGTTGGTTTCAGTTTCTCACATTGAAGATTTGCTGCTTTTCCTCTGAAAGATTATAATAATTGTATGTTTGTTAATAATATTGAGGTTTGGACACATCAAGCTTTGTGAATATGCAACAAATCTTTACAACCCAAGTCAGCCATTCATGGAGAAGATAATCAGTATATTAATTCATAAAAGTATATTAATAGTACAACAGACACAGGCATATTTTACTGCTTTAATAGTTTAAGTACATTTTCCTGATTATACTTTTACTGCAGTAACATTTTCTATGTTTTATTGTAACAGTATTTTATTTTGCTTCACTGCAGTCTGCATTTTAAAAACATCTTAAAAACATGATGTTGAAGATTTACTGAGGAAAAAACTGCATTTCAAAATATTACAGTATTTCGATTATCGAACTTTAAAGTCTGAACAAATGTTACAAACTTTACTGTTTGTAAATCAATAAAATGAACTGCTGTTTGTTGAGTTTTATGTTTATCCTTTTCTTGAACTAAAAATTAATTTATTAATTCCATTTAGTTCCATTGAGAGAAATTGTGGCGTTTCTCATTTCTTAATTTGAAGAAGACTTTTTGAAGGTAAAGAGGAAATGTTTTTAATCAGAAAGTTAAAGTGCAGGATCTCTGTATGTGTTTTATTTCTCTTCAGGTTTTAAAGTTAATCTACAGTATTGTGCAAAAACACTTTCACCATATCCAACCTGTTAAACCTGGTCTGCGGTCTGAGTTAACAGGTTGTGACATGTACAAATATGAACTGCAGTTTGTGTGTGGAAAAATATCTTACTAAAATATCAAACAGACTTGGACCCCTGCAGTGTGTTATTCGTATATAATACTACAGCACCGATGTTGGCAGAATTAATCTGACGCCTGGCAATAACATCCTTTATATTAAATGAAGAGAATCGCGTGGCCGACGTCTTCAGACGCTTGAAACATCACTTCTGCCTCATAAAGCAGCTTCATTCAGTTTGACAGTTTCTATAGTTTTGCACTTTGATCAGCACATTAGTGAGAGAAGAGAGAAAACACATGAACCCAAAGTGGCACTGGGCCAAAACTATACAAAAAAGGTACGTTAATATTTCATGTCAGCAAAATAATTTAATATTTAGGCAAAGCAGCTTTATTTATAGAGAACATTTCAAACACAGAGGCAATTCAAAATCAATTAAGATACAATAAAATTTGATCAAATTAAATAAATTAAAATTACAGACCAGAAGCACAGTTACAGCGCCGTTGTAAATTGTCCAAAGTGAAACAAAAGAAAATAAAAGTGCAGTACAGAAACCAATCAGTGAAGGCTCAGCATCTGCCAGCTTCAAACCCCATGTGACAACCAGGCAGTCTATGGTTAAATCCAGACCCTCAGTGTTTTGTTGTAGATGTTTTTTGGCATTTTCACTTTGCTTTATTGTGTTATAAATCTTTGTTGTGCATGTAACTTGTGTAATAGGTTTGCAAACCGGTGGAAAAACAGCTAAAACAGCTACAGCTAATTTTAAAAGAAAATATTATTTTGAGGTTTAAAAAAAACAGTTTTGCTATGTAATAGCAATGTAGGAAATATTTGCAGAATTTAATAAAAATTGTATTGGATAAGAATCACAAAGTATCCCTTTAACCCCTAGTTTCTCCAGAGGCGTGTGACCTCTGACATCTATAGCAATTGAAGTCGTTTTGGATAAAAGCGTCAGCTAAATGAAGTCAAAATATAAAAAACATGATTTTTTAGTTTGGACAACACAAAAAGTACAGTAGAGTAGTACTAGTAGTAATTGTAACTGTAGCACAGAAAATGTTCATAATAACACCTGCACAAAATATTTATTCCAGCACCTTTTTCACCTCATAACACTCTCTGTGTACAAATGTTTTAGTTTATGGTGTTTGTTCTGTTGTTTGTTGAGCTGTTTTTTTATGCTTCTTCTGTGTACGCACATCGAGAACAATATGAGACCGGAGTCAAATTCCTCGTATGTGAACACATATCTGGCCACTGAAGCTGATTCTGAAAACATGACTCCAGCCTCACAGGTGAAATATCAAAAGTCACATAAAGTCTGAAGAAAATGATGACGTGGTGACAATTTATCCACTCAATGATCCTCAAACATCTCAACAAACACACAGCCTTGTACTGTATTTGTATTGACTTACAGTAATTAATCAGCAGCTACACTGTGGCCACTTTATTAGGTACAACTGTGCAAACTAATACAAAGAATTTAAGTTGCTCTTGATGTTGCACACAGAACATTTTACAGACCTCCAGCTGAACAGATTGTAAACAAATATAAACAGAACAGTTATGTTTACAAATGGTAAAAAAATAGATGTGTTAAAAAATATACAGTCTATAAAAAGCAACAATGAACAACAACATACAATTTCTGTATACAAGTCAAACTGTTTCTGAACATTTTAAACATGAAGGTTGCTGCACCACATTAAGGGACGCCGTCCCTCTGTCCTCTGTCCCTCTGTCCCCCGTGCAGCTTTGGGACTCTGATCCCTGTCCGGTTCATCTTCTGCAGACTAACAGGCAGAAACTAACTCCTCACCAACAGATTGAAATTGTATTTGGCAGGTGAGCTCATCACAAGCAGTCTAGTGCTCAAAGTTATAAACAGCTGATTGATTTCAGAATAAAATAAAAGTGAGCTTGGGACTGGTGGTGCTGTGGGCTCGTACACTCCCATGGAAGAGCGAGGATGTTAAGTGTGTTAGTGTTTTTAGTTAAAACCATTTATCTTCTCTTTTAGTGAAATAGTTCTTTGTGTTTCTGTGTCTCTTTTTTTCCTGTTTCAGGTCTGTTTGTTAATAAATATCTTATTTGTTTGCATGTAATCTGTTTCCTGTTTCTTGTGGCCCGGTTTTTATATTTGTTACTCCTCTCTTTACCTCTGGGCCTGAGCCACATGAGGACGTAACAGCTGTTGCTTCTTGTAGTAACTCAGGGGCAGACTGTGAATTATACAGAGACAACCGGGAGGGGGAGTCAACCTTTTTTTTTTTCAGGTCAAAAAGAAAACCCAGTAGAGCGCAGGCTTTTAATACAAAACTCACAGTATCCTCGCTTATTTAACTAATGTATGCAGCCTGTAGATGATGGTAAATCAAATTCATGACATCAGTTCATGGTGCTCCATACCACATGACAACTTTTGTAGTCAGAGGTCAAAACTGCCAGATAGTCAGACACAACAGCAGACCGTCATGACCGCTCAAAACAGACCCACACAATACTGAACCAGAACCAAAGACACTATCATAAAATTATTATAATTATCATTTCAAGTTTTAGCAAATAAGATGTAATCTGCGTTCAATAAAGTAGTCGTCATACACTGTTGGGGAATTAGGAAATAAATGATATTAAACAGAATACTGTCTAGCTCAATATAAAAAGTGCAATAAGATGTCGTTTGTTCTGAATTGGCACTATAGAAATAACACTGGATTTTAACGTTTACCTAGCCAGGTACAACTCCTGAATTCTACACTGAAAACAAATATCATCTTTACTGTAGAAAGACTCACAAAATACTTTAAGGTAAAATAATAAACACTATATTGGCTTTAAAATGTGTATCTACGATAACTAATCCTTTATTTTACTGCTCATGCCTGAGCACCAGTGTTGGCTAACAATTACATAAAATATGGATATAGTGGTAATGAAATGACTCGGGGGGCTCTCAGCTAGCTAACATCACTTAGCTCATTTAAAGTAAAATACATGCTAATTACGAAACTCTGAAGGCGGGAATGTTAAGTGTATTAAACAAGCTAGATAGCTAACTACTGACATTAAACTGCAGCGTTTCCATTAACGTGTGATGCACTGTGCATGGAGCAGCTGCGAGTTAATGTTCAACTAACGTCCGTGTTAGGACATGGTGTGGTCCAATTCTAGGTCAGATATCATACTTTAGGATTCTTGAATTTAAGGCATCAGTATGTGAAATATATTGTAATATTTACAATGACAGGTAAGAAAGAGCCTCCTGAATTGTTGTTTTGCCCTTTGAGGGGGTCAAACCCCGTAATTCGAACCATGCTCGGGGTTCATTATGGAGTCAAACTTTTGCTTCTTCCTCTCTCGTCAAACCTTTCTTCAAGTTGATCTTTCTACAAATAAGTGAACAGAATTCACTGGTGAAAAACAGAAAGTGAAACTAAAGACAAACTATCATTTATGCATCTTCAGAATAAAGAACAAAATAAATTCATCCAGCAAACACCAAGCCTTCATTTGATTTGGTCAGATTCTCTGTTTATTTTCTGACTACTGAACTGATCTTTTTCTACTAGTTGTGCATGATGTTACACTCTGCTTGTGTCTTATTTAGGTCGACATTTTAGCCGAGATATGGAGGACCGATCCTGACACAGGCAGAAATAAATACAGAAATAAATAAATGCTCAATAAATAAATAAGCATCTAATTAAATAAAAAAATAAAGTAAATAAATAAATGTAGGTAGTAATTAAATTATACAAGGAGAAATAAATGTATATATTTTAATTACTGCCTTTACTTACTCACCTTTGTTATAATTACCTTATTTATTCATTCTCCGTTATAATCTTCAACTTTATTTATTAATTACTTATTTTTTAAATGTATTTATTTATGTGTGTTTTAATATTTTTGTATATAATATATTTTGTTTTATTCTTCCTTTGTATTTTTTTACCTTATTTATTTTCACCCATGGTATTTATTTCTGCCTGTCCTTTTTAAATTTCTGTATGCATTTCTGCCTCATTATGCAAATGAGGAGGGGCTGTGTCTCAAGGGGTGAACTTCTGCCCATTGGTGGACCAGTCAGACAGGAGAGCTCTAGGCCTACTCTGCCTGCAGACATCAACGAGCTGCTCTTCACACAGTCAGATGGCTTCCTTCAGTGCGCTGAGGTGTTTAGCTACTCTGTTTGAAGACAATACTACCAGCCATGTCTTCCTTCTCTTTTCATGTGGACACTCTGACCTACAGAGTTTTCAATTAGTGACTTATACGTACACAGAACTGCAGGAAAGTGAGCTGTTGTTTCTGAGAGCCACATCAGTTAGCCGCAGCTAAATCTGGAGTGCACTCCTATTCGAGTATTTACGGTAAATGCTCCCACACGGAGCAGCTCGTTGCTGTGCTGTTATCAGCTGCTGTTTCAACAAAAACACCATTCAGGGTGAAAATTCAACCGTGGTGTTGTGTCGGGAGATGCAGTGACTTCACCAGCGCAGCGGTGAGTATTATGAATAATACATGTAATCTGTTAAGCTATTAGGAGAGTAAAAGTCCGTTAGCCGCTAGGCTAATTTATGTAGTGCTAACATCATATAGGCTAAAGCTCTTGAGCTAGTGGTGGTAACAAATAAACTAATCTTAACAGTTACCATTAAGAAGAATTTTATGCTTCTGTTAAATGTGATTGCTATTAAGCCGTGTTTTGTGTGGTGGTGAAGTCAATTTAAAGTTAACTTTACTGCATTTAACCAGTCGAAATGATTTAATGAAGGCTAACGTTAGTTACTGTACTTCTATGTCTCACACAGAAAACACAGGAGGAGGCATGCGGAGAACATAACCATATTCTTCAGAGGAAAAGAAGAAGGAGGAGACTCTGACTGCAACATGCGTCTTTGTAAAGAGAAACGAACAGAAAAAGTTTCTAACTCTGCCTGTCAGCTCGCTCTGCTCCGTTAAAACTGAATTTACCATACAGAATTGAATACGAGTGCACTCCAGATTTAGCTGCAGCCAGCTGACCGTGTGCTTCTCCCTATACCGCAGTTCTGTGTCCATGCATGCAGCAAACTGAAAGCACTGTCTGTCGGAGCGTCTACGTGAAAAGAGAAGGAAGACATTGCTGGTAGTATTGTCTTCAGAGTTGTTAAACACCTCAGCGCACTGAAGGAAGCCATCTGACTGTGTGAAGAGCAGCTCGTTTCTGTCTGCAGGCAGAGTAGGCCTAGAGCTCTGATTGATCCACCAATAGGAGAGAAGATGACCCCTTGAGACACAGCCCCTCCTCATTTGCATAATGAGGCAGAAATGCATACAGAAATGTAAAAAGGACAGGCAGAAATAAATACCATGGGTGAAAATAAATAAGGTAAAAAAATACAAAGGGAGAATAAAACAGACAAAAATATTAAAACACACACAAATAAATACATAAAAAAAATTGTAATTAATAAATAAAGTTGAAGATTATAATGGAGAATAAATAAATAAGGTAATTATAAGAAAGGTGAATAAGTAAAGGCAGTAATTAAAATATATACATTTATGTCTCCTTGTATAATTTAATTACTACCTACATTTATTTATTTACTTTATTTTTTTGTGTATTTAATTGGATGCTTATTTATTTATTGAGCATTTATTTATTTCTGCCTGTGTCAGGATCGGTCTTCCATAGAGACAGCAGTTCATTCACTGAAATGTTTGCAGCTTGTCCTGCAGTGCAAAATGATTTAAATGTGAACTCATTGTGAAACAACTCATCTGTATTCAGTACAGATGATATACTTACCCCGACAAAGTTCCATTGCTCTGTGTCTGGTCTCTCTGTCCAAAACACATCATCTGTCCAACACACATCATCATCATCATCATCATCATCAACATCATCATCAGGTGAAGGCAGACGGTGTTTTCTTACCTTTTTACATTTTTTTTTTACAAAAGGCCTGCTGCTAGAACTACAACCAAAATGGCTCCAACCACCACACCTTCATTAACACCTGTGTCACCAGTTTGACTCCCTGAAACAGAAAAAGATTCAGTTTAGTGAAATTTCTACTAACCAAACTTCCATGAGTGGACTGATAATTCCTGTAGCATCAACATGTGAGGTTGCAGTCTGTTAATAATGCTAATATGTTCATATTGTCAGGTGGGAATCATACCTTCAGTGTCTGTTTCAGGAACTTCTGGAGAGTTTTAGACTTTAGAGTTCACTTTTCTATTTCACAGAGCAGAAACATCTTCTTTTGTACAAACATATGAACCCACAAGGTCTGATCACTCAGACTCTTTATGGTACTCTAGAGGCCATCTGAATACTGAATATCTTTAATTTCTCACTTACGTCAGGCACCATGTGGTTAAACTTCTAGTTAAGAAACCACACCATGATCTCAGAATAATTATCGACCATCCAATTACCTTCCAGTTGTTTCAGAAGTATTAGAACATATTGTGCCTCAGCAACTCTTTCAGGACCTTTTGTTCCACTGAAACTGCACTCACTAATGTGCTGAATGATTTTCTGCTCACTATGGCTTCTGATTTCTGCTCAGTTTCCTCTGTTACTGGATCTCAGTGCAGCTTTTGATAACACAGATGACTGTATACAGCTAGACAGAGTGATAAAATGAATATGACGGCTTCAGTCTGGTTCTCTAGTGGTTTCCTATAAAAGGTATTACATCAGGATGTTCTGATGTAGTACCTCATGGCTCTGTTCTTCATATAAAATAAAACAATAAATGAATAAACAGATCCAAACACTTATGAATCAAATAATATAGAAACACACATTGAGACACTGTCAGATAATAAAGGGTTTGATGTATTTGTTTACTAAATTAGTTTGCGGTATCCAAACCACTAGTGAAAAGGTAAAAATGGTTTTAGCAGTAGTTTGTTGTTGTGTAGTTGCAGGAATCTTTCAAATCAGTGCAGACACCAACCTGGTTTATTGGTTTAGTTGTCAGATTAGACGTAATACTCACTCAGTTCCCTCAAAGTGGCTCTCCTCCTGTTCCTGCGAGTGCTGACGGTGCAGCTGTAGACCAGATCAGTAACCCTGTCTGAAAGTATCAGAGAGCTGTTGATGTTGTAGAGCTGCTGTTCGGTCTGCTGGACTCTGGTTGTGTTCTTGAAGGTCACGTTGGACGGAGGGCTGGTGGACCAGGTGAGTTCAGGCTCAGGGTAGATCCCCTCTGAGCTGCAGGTGATCCTGTTTTCTTCCTGCTCCATGTCGACTTTATGGACCGGAGCTGCAAAAACAGAGATCTTGATGCTGTTTGTACGGATGAATTCACTAATAGTTTTATGTACCTAATAGTTACAATAATAGTTTCTAATAGTTTCTCATCTGGAAGCCTCCCTGCTAGCCTCCATCCTGTAGCCCTGACTTTTTGACTCCAAGCTACTGTTCACCCCTGTAACTTGACATCATGCATTTGTTTATACTCTTCATACTTATACAGTCCAGCCTGTACTAGATGAACTTAATATGCCCAAAATGAAAAGCAGTATATTAATACAGTTAAATTATGGTCATTTCTCAACTTCATCTATAAGTCATTATGAGATATACCGCCAGAAAATCAACCTGTGTAACCAAAAAAACTGTTCACAAGTTAATAAGACCCTGTCTCTCCAGAACCTACTGCTGTTAAATGACTATTTTATTATCTCAAATTACTCCTTTTCTCAGTTCATAGAGGACAGTGGTAATGACAACTATTTCCCAGCCAAACAAAAACTACGTTGCATGATTATGCTTTTATTGATGTTATCTGGTAATATTCAGCCCAATCCTGGTCCTGTTCCTGGTCCTCCTAACACTTTGCAATCCTTAGTCACTCCTTCATATTTCAAAAGCAGACATTGCCTTTGTTGCCATATATGTGAAATCTAAGTTTATAAGCTCTGTAACCCTGTCACTAACCAGGGTTTCTGGGAACTCTGATTGTTTTAAAGACTTACGTAATGACCTAAACTTAGCGCAACTTATTAATGAACCAACAAGAATAAATCCCAAAGCAGAAATAAAATCTACTCTCCTTGATTTAATCAACACAATTTCAGTTCATAAATATACCTCAACTGCCGTGTTTTGTAATGACGTCAGTGACCATTGTGCAGTCGCTTGTGTAAGAAATACAAAAATCCCTAAGGTAAAACCGCACATCATCCTAAAAAGACATTTTAAAAGTTTTGAACAACAGGCTTTTCTGCATGATCTGTATCACAGTGATCTCAGCAGGGTGTCTTTGTTTTCAGATGCTGAAATGGCATGGGATTTTTTTCATTCAAATTTCATTTCCATTGTAAATAAACATGTACCAATCAAAAGGTTTAGGATCAGTGGTAAGGACAACCCTTGGTTCTCAGACAGCCTATCAGAGCTAATCTGTTTGAGAAATAAAATGTAGGCACAAGCTAGATTCTCTAACTCTTCTGCTGATTGGACTGCATTTAGAACTGTAAGAAACAAGTGTACTTTGATGATTAGAAAGTCCAAATCTGAGTTTTATTTGAAGTCAATCACAGAAAACTTAAACAACCCTTCAAAGTTTGTCAGGTGCACGTGTGACCTCATACCTCCCTGAACTCTCATTGGTTCAGATGAAATAAAAGACAAAGCAGCTATAGACATCAGTTTAATAAACACTTTAGTCAGGCTGGATTCATATTTGATCAAACCGTAAATAAATCTGTCCCATGTCCTGCCATGTCAGCATCTGAAAATGTAAATCGGGAATACTTTAATTTTAAACCGATTTCAGTGTCAGAAGTTCATAAAGCCCTCAGAGACATTGATCACAAAAAGTCTGCAGGTCCAGATAATCTGGATCCCTTTCTGTTAAAAGTGTCAGCTGATATTACTGCTGAGCCTGTAGCGCATATTTTTAATTTGAGTCTTCTTTCCAACTCCATTCCCAAAAGTTGGAAAGCAGCCTATGTTTTCCCTTTACATAAAGTTGGAGACCCATCAGAACTGAATAATTACCATCCAATATCAACACTCTCTGTTCTGTCAAAGATCTTGAAATCACTTGTGAATGTACAGTTAAAACTGTATTTAGCTGACAAAACATATTAAATAATTTTCAGTCAGGGTTCATAGCACTATCACTGCTGCTACATTAGTGAGAAATGATATTATTGGGGCCTTAGATAAGAAGCAACACTCTGCTGCATTATTAGTTGATCTTTCTAAGGCATTTGATTCAGTTGATCATGGATTGTTATTGACCAAACTACGTTCAGTTGGTTTAAGTGAGAAGGCTGCTGCATGGTTCCAAAATTATCTTGTAGATCGTACTCAATGTGTTTATGCTGAAGGTTATAAATCTGATTTTCTGTGTCCCTCGAGGATCAATCTTAGGACCCATTCTTTTTTCAATTTTTATAAATGATTTGGATAGAGATGTTCAAGCCAAATTACATTAATACGCTGATGATACAGTGGTATCATCCACTGTATCAATGGTCCACCATTTCAGCAGCAGTGCAGGAACTTCAGACTGCATTTCAGGCATTGCAAAATACATTATTCTAAAGTCTAAAACTGGTTTTAAATACACAGAAAACAAAGTTTATGGTCTTCTCAAAAGCTCGAGCACAGCTACTTGACAACTGTGGTCTCTGGTCCTTAGATGGGAAATCAATTGGTTGCTTTTTAACGTGCCACGAGTTGCAACCGAATTGGGAAGAACTGCTTTCTCTTATTCAGCACCTTGGGCTGGAATAATCTACAGAAAGAGCTAAAGTTAGAAACCCTTATGACCATTAATGAATTTAAAACTACTGTAAAGAATGTTGTGATGGAGACATGTTCTTGTATTTCTTGAGAGTCTCATTGTGTTTTTTTTTTTTTTTAACATTTTGTACTTCTTTTATCATGAAAATGTAACTTGGTGTTTATTATGTATGCATTTGTTGTGATTTGGCTGCTACCTTGGCCAGGTCTCTCTTGTAAAAGAGATTCTGAATCTCAATGGGACTTCCTGGTTAAATAAAGGTTAAATAAAAAAAATGTAAAAAAACAAACAAAAAAAAAAGCTCACCAATTTGACAGCACAAATGCTAAATGTATATTTTAATTGCACCCGAAGAAAACACAAGTTGATGGTTTTGTGTATCTACTGTGTGTTTCTCGTACCGTCCACTTGTAGGTTGATAAATGAATCCTTGTTGCCTCTGATGGTGCTGGTGAAGCACTTGTATCTTCCCTGGTCCTGAACCTGGACCCCAGTCAGCTGGAGCGAGGCGTTTCCTCCAGAGATCTGGTCCTTGAACAGTGACGTCCTGCCTCTGAAGCGCTGGCCCTGGTGTCCCAGCTGGTCTTGGTTGTTGTAGTAGGAGTGGACAGGAGTGTTTCCTGTTGTCACATGATACCAGTGGATGACTACATCAGTGCCGCTCTGGAAGCTGCACGGTAAGATGCAGCTCTCCATAAAAACACAGGACACCTCAGCATCTGCAACACATCAGGTACAAACAACATCTTTATTGTACCAATTCGTTCTCACTCTCAAGCCGTCACATATGGACAGTTGGTCAAGACCCCTTGGCATCAGTTTGTAACGTACTGGGTACCCCCTTAGTGTCACACTGGGGGAAGGCCTGTAGTGTCATTTTTGAACACTTAAGCTAGGTGAATAATATATAACAGTGAAGTCTGAGTAAGGAGGTGACTGCAGTGGACAGATCTGCCATAAACCGAACTTTCATGTAGTGTTTTTCCCTCAATCAAATTTACAACGTTAACCATTAGTTTTATTTTGAAAGTCTAACCAGACGTAGCCTATTTATTATTGCTATCTTGACCGGACGTTGTATTTTGATTGTTGCTAACTTGACCTGGGTACCCTGGGGGTTACTAAGCGACACCAAATGGTCTTGACAAAGTGTGGTGTTCACTGTGAGTTTTTAAAATCTGAGTAAATGTGTGCTATAAATAAAAGATCATAATAAAAAGCTGTTAAATTGAGATATTATATCACTTGAAAAAATTAAATACTATTACTCGTTTTATAACCAGTTTTATATCTAAAATCAAGACCTGTCACCCAGAAAGGTGGTTAGGGTGGACGGACGGATCCTTTCCTTCATTCAATTCAATTCAATTTTATTTATATAGCGCCAAATCACAACAACAGTTATCTCACAGCGCTTTTCATAAAAGAGCAGGTCTAGACCGTACTCTGTGATGTTATTTACAGAAGCCCAACAATTCCCACCAAGAGCAGCACTAGGCGACAGAGGCAAGGAAAAACTTCCTTTTAAGCAGAACCATGGCTCAGGGTGGGCGGCCATCTGCCTCGACCGGTTGGGGGTGAAGGGGAGAGAGAGAGAGAGAGAGAGAGAGAGAGAGAGAGAGAGAGAGAGAGAGGGTAAGAGAGAGAGATCGGGCAAGAGAGGAACAGAGAAAAAGAGAGGGATGGAAGGAGAGAGAGGGGAGGGAGGCAGTCTACACAATATACACACAGAGGATTTACAGACAGTAAAGGTGATGTTGCCATAGACTAAATGAAAAATGGTATAGATATGTGTGGTAGTGTTAATGATAACAATTGTAATGTTAATGATTATAATAGCAATAATAATAATAGGACTAGTAATAATAGTCGTTGTAGCAGAGGGTGTCGAGCAGGAACACGGGGGCAGCAGGTGACCCGCAACCACAGATCCAGACTCCACAGCTCCAGAGCCAGAAACACCTGCAGGAAGTGATAGGAGGAGAGAGGAGAGAGACGAGAAAGCACAAGACTACCGGAAAGGGGAGAAGTTGTGTTAGTAACATGCAATAATGGGATAAGGTTGCATACAGAGGGAGAGAAAGTAGAGGAGAGAGGAGCTCAGTGCATCATGGGAAATCCCCTGGCAGTCTAGGCCTATAGCAGCATAACTAAGGGATGGTTCAGGACTCACCTGAGCCAGCCCTAACTATAAGCTTTATCAAAGAGGAAAGTCTTAAGCCTACTCTTAAATGTGGCGATGGTGTCTGCCTTCTGAACCCAAACTGGAACCTGGTTCCACAGGAGAGGAGCTTGATAGCTGAACGCTCTGGCTCCTAGTCTACTTTTGGAGACTCTAGGAACCACAAGTAACCCTGCATTCTGGGAGCGCAGTGCTCTGGTGGGGTAGTAAGGTACTATGAGCTCTTTAAGATAAGATGGTGCCTGACCATTAAGAGCTTTGTAGGTAAGAAGAATGATTTTAAATTCTATTCTGGATTTTACTGGAAGCCAATGCAAAGAAGCTAAGACAGGAGAAATATGATCTCTTTTCCTGGTTCCTGTCAGAACAAGAGTCTTAATGGACTTTTTCAAGCAGCCTGATAATAAAGAATTGCAGTAATCCAGCCTAGAAGTAACAAATGCATGGACTAGTTTTTCTGCATCATTTTTAGACAGGATGTTGCTGATTTTCGCAATATTACGTAGGTGAAAAAAGGCGGTCTTTGAAATTTGCTTAATGTGAGACTTAAACGACATTTCCTGATCAAAGATAACTCCAAGATTCCTCACAATGGTGCTGGAGGCCAGGGCGATGCCATCAAGGGAAACTATATCTTTGGATAATGCGTCACGGAGGTGCTTGGGTCCCAGAACAATAACTTCAGTTTTATCTGAGTTTAACATTAGAAAATTACAGGTCATCGAGGTTTTAATATCCTGAAGGCACATTTGAAGTTTAGCTAACAGGTGAGTTTCATCTGGGTTGATCGATAGATATAACTGAGTATCATCTGCATAACAATGAAAGCTTATGGAATATTTCCTGATAATATTGCCTAAAGGAAGCATATATAAAGTGAAGAGGATTGGTCCGAGGACAGATCCTTGAGGAACTCCATGACTAACTTTGGCATGCATGGAGGACTCATCGTTAACATGTACAAACTGAAATCGATCTGATAAATAGGACTTAAACCAGCTTAGAGCAGTTCTTTTACTGCCAATGAAATGTTCCAGTCTCTGCAATATGATCTGATGGTCAATGGTATGAAATGCAGCACTAAGATTTAATAAAACCAGTACAGAGACAAGTCCTTTGTCTGATGCAATAAGGAGGTTGTTAGTAATTTTCACCAGTGCTGTCTCTGTGCTATGATGAGCTCTAAATCCTGACTGAAAATCCTCAAATAAACTATTGCTCTGTAAAAAGTCACACAGCTGTTTAGCAACTACTTTCTCCAGGATCTTGGAGAGAAATGGAAGGTTAGATATAGGTCTATAGTTGGCTAAAACATCCAGATCAAGTTTGGGTTTTTTCAGAAGAGGTTTAATTACAGCTACTTTAAAGTACTGTGGTGCCTATTGATAAAGATAGATTGATCGTATCTAGTACAGAGGTGCTGACTAAGGGTAAAACATCTTTAAGCAAAGTAATCGGGATGGGGTCTAAGAGGCAGGTTGATGGTTTAGATGAAGAAATGATTGAAGTTAGTTGGTAAAGACTGAGGGAAGCAAAGCAGTCATATATCTGGTTTTACAGCTGTTTCTAAGGTTCCTGAGTTTGGAGATAAGTCGGTGCCAGTTGAGGGCAGGTCTTGGTGAATTTTGTTTCTAATAGTTAGAATTTTATCATTAAAGAAGCTCATGAAGTCGTAACTACTGAGAGCTATGGGAATACTTGGCTCAATAGAGCTGTGAAAGAAACCTGGGGTTGATCCTATTTTCCTCTATTAATGACGAGTAGTATGCTGCTCTGGCATTACGGAGGGCCTTCCTATATGTTTTAAGACTATCTTGCCAAATTAAACGAGAATTTTCCAGTCTGGTGGAACATCAATTCCTCTCAAGTTTCCGTGATATTTGCTTTAATTTGCGAACTGTCTTTGTTTTATTATTTTCTTTTTTAGAGGGGCTACAGAGTCGAGTGTCATTCGCAGCGAGCCTGCAGCACTATCAACAACATGATCGATTTGGGAGGGACTGAAATTAGCATAGGAGTCCTCTGTTACTTTGTGACTTGATAATGAATTTAGAGCTGATGGAATCGCATCCTTAAATTTAGCTACAGCACTATCAGACAGACATCTTGTATAGAAATTTTTGCCCAATGGCGTGTAGTTCAGCAATACAAACTCAAATGTTATCAAACAGTGGTCAGATAAAGGGAATCAGACCAGGTCTTCCCCAGAAGGTCTGCCAATGATCTACAAAGCCCAAATCGTTTGCTGGACACCACCTTGACAACCAGCGGCGGAATGACGACATGCGGCTATACATGTCATCACTGGTCAGATTTGGCAGGGGTCCAGAGAAAACTACGGTGTCCGACATTGTTTTTGCATATGTACACACCGACTCAACATTAATCTTAGTGACCTCCGATTGGCGTAACCGGGAGTCATTACAGCCGACGTGAATAACAATCTTACTGTATTTACGTTTATCCTTAGCCAGCAGTTTCAAATAAGACTCAATGTCGCCCGCTCTGGCCCCAGGGATGCACTTAACTATGGCCGCTGGCTTCGCTAACTTCACGTTTCTCAAAATGGAGCTGCCAATGATCAGAGTTGGTTTCTCAGCAGGTGTGTCGCTGAGTGGGGAAAATCTGTTAGAAACGTAAACAGGTTGGTGGTGCCCCGTGGGCTTTAAATGCTTACGACTATTCCTCCTTCGGACAGTCACCCAGTCACCCCTTCCTGGCTACACAGGAGATGCTGGGGGACCACAGGCTAATTCAGGCCGTTCCGCACCGACTACCGGGGACTGGCTAGCTACAGTAGCTAAAGACTGATCTACCAAGGTGCGGAGCCGGACTTCTAAATCACTGAGCCTCGCCTCCATGTCTAAAAATAAACTACACTTATTACACGTACCATTACCGCTAAAGGAGGCAGAGGAGTAACTGAACATCTGACACACCGAGCAGGAGAAAGTAGTAGAGAGAGAGGGAGAAGGAGAAGCCATCGCTAGCTGCTAAGCTAAATTACTGTAGCGTCAGCTACCAAAACTTTAGAACAACTATGAGACTGAACAGCAGTCACTAAAAGATGGAAAGAACTGTGAGTGCTTAGGCAAAATTACTATAAGAATAAGTGTTTAGCGGACAGTTGGCCGCTGTAATCTAACAAATGAAAGTCCACCAATCAAAAGAATCACTCTGTGGATGAGGTTGGCCTGGATTAAATTATGATTATCCAGGTAATATTCAAATTGCTGAGCTGAGCAAGAGTTATGTGCATAAAGAATTAAAGGCCTGCTCTATAGGCCTTCGCAGGGCCACACATAGACAAACAACCAGGAACACTCACACCTAATTTAGGGTCACCAATCAACCTAAGCAGCATGTCTTTGCACGGTGGGACGTAGCCAGAGCACCCAGAGAGAACCCTCTCTGACACGGGGAGAACATGCAAACCCCACACAGAAAGGCCGGGGCAACCAGGGTTTGGACCTGTGGGCTTCATTTCTAAGTGAGGCTAAAGCCCATTGACAACAAGGCAGTAAAACTTTGATTTATTATTAGTGATTTCATTGAAAAACTACAATATAACCTCTTTAAGATTCTGCTGATGATTTTAGTTACTTTTTTTAATTGTTTAAAAAAAACAAATATTCTGTAAATATAAATAAAATCAAATTCTGGCCATATCTTACACATTGTAAGACCGACCTAAACTAAACTATGAATTCACGTCCTGTTTCTGGGCTAAATGCCATTCTGTTAAATGCAGGGCAACTTTGTCCTGATAACAGTTACTGTAGGCTAAAGTGTATGTGACACCTTTATAACATTATGAACATTAGAATATAAGTTTCCCATTACTACTTAGCTTCAGGCAGCAGTGCGATCTGCTTTGCTGTAGTCTGGATCTAAGTTATTAAGTACATGCAGTTGGCTCGGAGAAGGTTTATCTGTTAAGTCTAGTTTTGCATGCCGCCCCTTGGCTCCTATTTCTTGTTCAACATCTCTGTCTTCTTTTCTAACGCAGTATAAAGACTCTGGACGCTCTTACCTTATTTGTGTATCTCTGAAGTAAAAGCTTCACTCACCTCCTTCTGCAGAAGCTAACATCCAGATAAAACTCCAGACCACCAGACGCGCAGAACAGCCGACCATCATTTTGTTTTACTCTCTCACCAAATTCCTGTCTGTATGCTGAACCTGTCGCCACATGTCTGAAGCTGTTCTGTAAGTCAGTTTTTCGTGCAAAAGCATTTGATGGTTTCAGTTTCTCACATGTAAAGATTTGCTGCTTTTCCTCTGAAAGATTATAATAATTGTATGTTTGTTAATAATGTTGAGGTTTGGACACATCAAGCTTTGTGAATATGCAACAAATCTTTACAAACCAAGTCAGTCGATTCATGGAGAAGATAATCAGTTTATTAATACATAAAAGTATATTAATAGTACAACAGACACAGGCATATTTTACTGCTTTAATACTTTAAGTACATTTTCCTGATTATACTCACTCACTATACTTTTACTGCAGTAACATTTTCTATGTTTTATTGTAACAGTAATTTATTTTGCTTCAAAAAACTGCATTTCAAAATATAAAGATATTTCACTTGAACTTTAAAGTCTGAACAAATTTTACAAACTTTACTGTTTGTAAATCAACAAAATGAACTGCTGTTTGTTTAGTTTTATGTTTAGCTCGAATCTCAATCTAATCCTTTTTCTTGAACTATAATATCTATATAAACTCATATTATTTTATCATGACTTACAGGGAAAGTGGAAATAATTTAAACATCAGTTTCATTTGTTGTTCATAGAAAATGTCATCTTGGGTTTTAGTATTTATTTATCAGCGTGACATTGCTGCAACAAAGAGAAGCAGATAAGGAGTTAAACGTCACATTGTTAGAATGAACAACTGTGTTACTGTGAACTTATGAAAGAAAAGGCAGAAAGACTGTCAGCAGCTCCTTGTTGGTGCTTTGGCCTCCGGCTGCAGTGAGTTTTACAAACCACCAGATGTCAGTGTGCTGCTGAGTTTGAAGCCAAATCAAATTCCTGCCAGCTTCAAACCCCATGTGACAACCAGGCAGTCTATGGTTAAATCCAGACCCTCAGAAAAACTCAAGTGTTGTTGTAGATGTTTAAATAGCTCATATTATTTTATTTGGCATTTTCCTTTTCTTGTGTAATAGGTTTGCAAACCGGTGGAAAAACACACTGAGCTGCAGCACACACAGTGACAAGACGTCTGTAACTGTGATTTTAACAGGTATGATCATTTTGGCTAGCTAAATCAGACTTAAAACAAAATGTACTAACCAGAGAAAATGAACAGCCCCCCCCTCCTAATAAGCTTTTTCAATGCCGCAGGTTAAATCAATGTCCCACTGATTGTATTGAGCCGCCTGGGCCAAAAAAGCCCGGGCTGATTATTTTCTCCCAGTCCAGCCCTGACTACATCTTAGAGGTAAATATTGTCATTTTTACTCACTACATTTATCAGGCAGCTGGAATTACTAGTTGCCAGTGTTGGGCAGTAACACGTAGTGTAACTAATTACAGTAGTAATATTATTACTAGTTACTAATGCAAGTAACGCTGCGTTACTCATTACTGAACACACCATCCTTGACATGAATCCACGACAGTGCGGCAGCTCGGCGGGACCGGACTTAGTTGTTCATGTCCGCTGTTGTACCATGAACATTTTTACATCTGATTTATTGAAGCATCTGCTGGAGCATCACAGCGACGTGAAACTTACAGAAAGAAACTCCGGCAGCTGCTGCCACTGATGCTCGGACTCGTCGGGAGAGAGTGGGGTTAACGCAACGTTTTATAACTACTGAATACTGCTCTTATAAACAGGCTACATGTGCAGAAAAACAGCTGTTCAAAAGTCGTGATACTGGCTTTATTATTATCAGCCAGTGGTGTTAAGAAAGGTTAGGTTATGCTTTGTAAAAAACACTCCTTGCTGCTGTTGGATATGATGTTAGTTAAAAAGTCGGGAGAGACTTCTTTATTTGGGGGTGAAGGCTGAAAAAACCAGCTTAAACCAGCTTAAGATGGTTGCTGGTTTTAGCTGGTTTTAGCTGGTTTTGAGCTGGTTATGCTGGTTTATTGGATTGGTAAAGCTGGTAACAGGCTGGTGCAGCTGGTTCCCCATCCTTACTGAACTGGTTACTCAGCTGGGCCATGGTTCAGGCTGGTCTGCCAGCTGGGTCAAGCTGGTGTAACTGGTCGGCCAGCTTGGCCAAGCTTGTGTCAGGCAGGTTAAGTTCACTGAAGCACTCAAATAAAATTTCTTTTGAATAGATGTACAATATTTACAAAACCTATATGCCCACATCTGGTTCTTCAGTTACTATGTATTACTGGTGTATTGCTTTTTTATGCAGTCTATGGTTACTGGTCAAGAAGGTTGCACTTGTCTGAAAGCAGTGCTTGGTTCCGAGATTGACTCAAACAACCCAAACATGATGTGTTAAAGCTTTCCTTGCCTTTGTGTGGCCCACAAATTTCAGAGAAGGACCCTCTTTGAACTTTGCCATGCATGTGACCCGTCCCCTGTGAAGCAGTAAAGACCCTACACTACCCTATGGAAACATCATAATTGGCAAAGATGATTTTCTTTTTGTCTCCAGCTGAATTTGTAAAACAGTCATCACAGAAATACCTTCAAAGGGAAGATAATATACCTGTTTTTCCTATAACTTTAATGACACTAAGATACAACCTTCCTTAAACTGGAACACTAGACAAAAGGTCACATCTGATGGCAAGATAAGCATTTACTAAAAGAAGGCAGAACTCACTGGAAAGAGGAATTAACTTGAATGCAAAAAAGAAATGCTGACCAAAGGTGAGTACTTACACATGCTTTGAATTGTTTTACCCATATTAAATGCATAATAATGGTTTTGTATCTGTATCCATAATGAAATGTTATAATGTCTTTTTATCATCTATTTCAATGCAATTCAACAATATGCTTGCATTACTTAAAGAAAAGGCACAAGATATGTCAAAACCATTTCATCAGTAAGTCAATAACCAAACAATAAATTATAAAGAATTCAAGACCCACTTATATATTTACAGAAAAACAATATACATCAATAAAACACTGAAATGTAAAACAAGATGATCCAGATTGGAGCTTCTATTCAAACACATTTTAATACCAATTAATCTTCTTTTTTTAATAAATGATACAAGTTAAGTCCAAACTCTCTGATTCCAGCTTCTCAAATGTGATTTTCTGGTTTCCTCTACGACTACAAAATTAATATCTTTGTTGTGGACAAAAGATATTTGAGGAAGTCTTCTTTAGATTTTCCAGCATTTTATTTGACCATTTTATAGACCACACAACAAATTGAGGAAATAATCATCAAGACAGATTAATGACAATGAAGATAATTAGATTTCATAACATGTACAGTACAAGTCACTAAGGTGTCCCTAATGTGAACAACTATTGCCATGTTTTAATCTCTCTCATAAGTGTTTGGTGAATCACACACAAACACTTTCTCAGCACATTCTATGATAAGATACTTGTGGTATAGTCTCTCTACTGAAATCAGCTGCATTTGTGATCTATCACCATGTCTGACGCAGGCCATGTGTGGCACAGACTCCCCTTGTGGGAAGGCAGCTGGAAGTGTGTAAAATGGGATGAAAAGCAAGGCAAGTTCGCTTTTTCCATCTACCTCATAAGAGAGAATCTGATGCAACTCTCCCCTAGATCCATCAGCCAATCTGACGCTCCAATCATTGCGTCTCTTTGCTCGACTGTATTCACGGCTGGTAAAAACAAGACCTTGGTGAATCATTCTCTTGTCACCAATGTAATATTGCTCATCTGTGCTCTGAAGTAGAAGGGCTGCATGCTGCCTTGCAACACCCAACAAAACAGCATGCATATAATCAGGGACAAAGCCCCACAATGTCAAAGCATGGCATATTAATCAAAGGAGATGGCCCTTTTACTCCCCTTACATTTTTCTGTAGGATGAGAGCTTCCTCCATGTCATTTAACATGCTCTCTGCATCTCTGTCAGGGTAATCTGTTTCTGTGATAGTGTATTTCACTTGTCCATTTACAAGTGTGCCTGGGTGGAGGCAGAAACCACAACCAAAATACCTGTTGAACTGTGTACAGTTCTGCATTGATGGTCTGGCCTTGGAATCAACACAGCAACAGACACCCAAAACTTTGCTGATGACAACTTTCCCATCCTTTCTCCACGACACTCCCTTGGTTGCAAGCACTTTTGCTTGATCTACAAAAGGCTTAAGAAAAACATACATCTGAGGCTCTGTTGATCCAAACCGCAATCCAGCCAAGATCACGTGTTTGAACCTAGAGTTTGGTGGCAGCTCATTGAGGTGAAGGTGAATGGGCCAGATGGAAAATTTGGATGACTTGTAAAGAGGTGAGCCATCTGAATTGAATGTGTATGACAGGTTGTTTGGGTCAGATAAAATTTCACCTGGTTCTGACAGGATTTTGTACAGGTCACCGTCATAAATGTCTGATATAATGTTTTCTGCTTTGCCTGGTCAGTTCACCTGGTAGCTCAACTTGCTGTGTAGCTCTAGAGATTGAAAAATGTGCTGAATCTGGGGAGATATTGGGACACTGATAAAGAAGCTGCCATTGTTGAGGGTGTCTGGGTCGACTGGCGAATTACAGCCCAAACACTGTGTAACATTGTTCTCCAACACATCATTTTGACATCCCAAATGGGCTTTACAGGCCTTACAGTAAAAATTAAACTCGACTTTGTCTATGTTATTTTGAAATACTTTGTTAAAGGCATACTTTGACCCTGATGCAACATCTTGCCCAAATAAGTGATTGATAAGTTTGAGTAAATCAGATCCAGTTATTTGATGCCTTGCAGCATAGGTCATGATCATTAGTAATGCCTCAGCCCTTGATGTTGTACCTGTGGCCACCAGAGGCGTGTCCATATCCATGTTTACTCTCTTCCTATGTGGATCATTTGAATAGTCCAAGTTGTTATCTTCTGCCGACTCTGAATCTTCATCTGACGACATGCTGTCTTGCAGTGTCTCTACATCATCTTCTGATGAAGTCAAAGCCTTGGAAGAACAGTGACATTAAATTTTATTTTGACAACTTTCAGAACATCTTTATACAAGGTTATTTTTTGTTTCTTCCT